TGAAGAGGGCAGAGAGCAACTCCCCAGCCTTGTCCTGCCTCAACCACCTCAATTTTCAGGAGATATGGTGCGGTTCCTTTCCTCTGAAAGCCTAAAACCATAACACATTTCTGGGAATTCTCATATCAAAGCTAGAAACTACATCCAATACCAGGGTACCAGTTGACACTGCACAACTGCCATGAACCCAACCAGGACACCAAATTTAACCTCATCCTCAGAAAACAAAATAACCTAGAGAGGAGGTTCTGGGAGGCTCCAGATTAATCACAGCTCAGGTTTGCCTAGAAAAACAAGCCCATAGATCAGACAGCTCAGTCTTCACCAGGAAAAGCAGATCTCTGAGCATTACTGCCAATACCTTCCAGATCTTCCCCAATCCTCATTTTGGGGAGAAGACAACTGACAGGATCACACAGATGAAAGGGCCTGTAGAGAAGGTGGTGACCTATCCATACCATACTCAAAAACAGTCACACTGAGCACAAAGCACTCCAGGGTCTCTTTAAGACCCTTGGGTGAAGACTGGAAGACAAAGCTTGATCCTCAACCTCATCCTTACCCTGGCAGGCAGCACTGACAGAGAGCTCTTTGACAGGAGCTGTGTCTCAGCTAGCCCACAAGTCAATTTAGAGCATGTATAAACCTTCAGAAGACAGTTTAAGAAGAGCCTCTGAATGCAGACAGAAATGGCAATTATTAATTTTCTAAATAGAAATCTGACTACTTAAGCCTTATTTAAAAGTGTGTCTGTCTCTATAATTACAGAGTCTTAATTTGTTTTCTTTACTACACAATAAATAAGGTGTGCACAATTACCCTCTGTAAATACAAGGCAGCGTCTCCTGACTGGCTGGTTGAGTATGAAGCTACCCAGGAAAGCGTTTAGAAGGAATCACAGTCTCTTAAGTACTTGCTTCCCGGTAAATGAGGATTCAGGCACTGCGAACATCAACTTGTCTTGCTCTAAGCACATCCTGCTGGGAGCCTATTCTCCTACATTCACAGGTCTACTGTCCCACAGCCAGAAAAGGCTGGACACTTTGGCCAGCAGCAAACAGATCCTGTCCTCTCCCGTGTGTTGATTCCTGGTGCTCTGTGAAGCTGAGCTCTTCTGTCAGCTTCTCAGTGCCTAATGAGGAATGTGATAATGTTCTCTTCCTCCCCACAAGGCACTACAACAGCCTCTCTTTACTATTCCTCTGCCTATTTTCATGATACGAGTAGGAATTTGATATCCTCATGACTTATAATCCTCTATCAAGTTCAAGTAAATTGGCCAAGGCATTCCAGTGTTATTAGGAGAGAGAACGAGAACATGCAATACTTTCTCCTTAATAAGCTGTGTTAAACACGGCAACATAGTAAATATGTATTCAGATGGTTTATCTCTCTCAAATTTGGGAACTGTATCATCCTAAAAGTTTTCTTGTACAGCCTCAAGCCAAAGACCGAGGCTTTCTGTCAACACCAAACCTTTCCTATGTTCACTGGCATCACCTGCTAACACTAACTTCCATAAATCTTGGCTAAAGGGCTCAATATTCCACAACTTAGACCTGCTCATCCTCATATCCAGTGCATGGTGTTTTCCAGAATGATCCCTATATAAGCTGCACAAAAATGGGACTAGGAACCAACCAATGTAACTTTGCCCAGCAAGATGACCTCCAGCGAGGACACAAAATGACACTAGATGATATCCAGTTTAGATCAGACCCACATCCACCCACATTCAACATCCAGACAGTACTTGTTCTAGGAGGAGTCAATTGCCTCAGCCCAATTGCCAGCAGAAGAGGTAGATCTACATTGCAAACCCCACAGTTATATTTTTGATTAATTGCCTCTGTAGCAGTGATAAGCTTCATGGCACCAACTATCAGACAAGCCACAGAGCCTTAACTCTCCTTATGCAAGGAAAAGGAACCAAAGTTATTTCTAGGTCCACATCTCCAGCTTCAAGTCACCCACTGCTCCTCCGCTGATTAGGTTGGCCTCAAACCCCTTACACTTATACAGCTAATTTCAAACTTTAAAGGACAGGCATGACCCTGCCAGGCTGCACTTTGGAGCACTTTGAGGTCTACCATTCAGGCAGTTGAATGCTGAAAATCCCTTTCATAGGTTTCTTGTCTTTCCTCCCTGCTTCTGTGATGGGGATTGAGGGGGGAGGGGGGAACAAAGCCAAACTTTATCCAGAACCATTATCTTAAACAAACCCCCACAAACCTGAGCTCCTGCAATTAGAGCTGGGATAAGTGATCCGCTTGTGATTGCACAGCTGGGGTCTGAAGACAAGTGTGTGCACAGAGGAAGGGCCAGAAATAGAAGTTGCTGGGAGAAGGCAGAGCTATCTGGCCCATCTGAGAGGAGGAAACCTTGATGAAAGGCACTGGGGAAAATACTTACTTCAGCAGGAGGCTGGGGTTTGACCCAGGATGGGGAGGGAGAGGGGGAAAGAAACATCAGCTTTTGAGTCCTCACAACTTGTACATAAGCTTCATGTGGAATAATGCTTGCTGTGGCTCAGACCCAGCTTACAGCACCCTGCAAAGGTCCAGCCCAGGGTCCCCACCACCCTGTGCCAGCCCTTCCTGGCAGTGAAAGCTCTCTGTCATTTATTAGACACATTTGCCATCTTATTGACTCAACTCCACCTGCAACCATCCAAACAGCCAGCAAAGGAGAAGGAAAACCAGAGCAGCAATGACAATGCATACCAGTAACTCAACAAGCCTTAAGCACACCATCCCACAGCCCCCATCCCTGCACCCATCCAGCCGCAGCCAGCCCCGCTGCCAGGGGATTGGGACAGTATCCCTCGCTCCTGTCAGCTACTGTACCTCATTACAGCAGCCCAAGACTTACAGCAGAGTGACATTTCCATTAATCCTTTTATCCCTGGCTCCTACGTGCAGTGGTTGCAGAAAATGTCAGGCCTTCGGCGAGTTGAGCTCCCCAGGAGGCAGCAGCTGCAGAGTAGCCAAGGAGGCACGGTGCTGTGGCCATGGAGGGGATCCCAGGTGGCACCAGGTGCCTGCCAGGCTACAAAAGCCTTGGGAGCCACTGCGTTTTCCCCATCAAGGAGAGTGAGCCCCCAAAAAAGCAGCCTGGCTCCAAGGGAACAGCACCACCGTGGCCCAAGAGCCTCTGGGGAGCAGGAGGGAGCCAACATCCCAGCAAGCACCAGGTCTCCATCCCCAGGTGCCCAGCATCTGCCATGGGGAACATCCACCTTGCAAACTTCCACGCTGCCAGGTCCCAGGAACAGCATCAAAATCCAACAACAAACACTAACCAAATAATATACTTAACTTGCCTCGAGCTTCAAAAGGCAAGGAAAGAAAGATGTTAAGAACATGATCAATCTTACATGGCCCAAGCAGTAAACAAACACATATTTCATCACCACATACCAACCTTAACTCTTGACACAAGATGGATGTGGGGTTTTTTTCCAATCTCAAAAGTAATCTCAAAAGACAAAACCAAACACTTCTGGAAAAAGCAGCAACAATTGCATGTGTACACATTAACGACACATTCAGCCACAGAACAAGCGCACGCGGCCTTCTAAACTCCTACGACATCCAAACTAATTTCATCAAGAATCAAATGTTGTTCATTTTATCTGCTAGATACATAAACAGCAATTGCACAATTGACAAACAATCCCCCTAAAAAAAAAAAAAATCAATTGAGAGAGGTATTCAGAGACAACACTTCCCAGTAACAAACAACTACAGAAAACAAAACAAACACTACAAATCAAAATAACAAAGTGCAGAAATCATGAAAATCCCAGTGGTCAGCATTAAGGAGGGTTTATGCTGACAAAATAAGTACTTCTTCAAACTCAAAAAGGCTTGTTCATAACGCCCTTAACTATTCATGCCCTTTGGTACTGCAGGTCTCCTTTTAGCAAGTACTTTACTGTCACTTAGCAACTGTAACTGGTTTTCCATAAAGGAAGCTTTTGGGGTTTTTGAGTTCACATCATCTCCAAGCAGACATCAAAAGACAAATCTATCCTGCTCTACAGGTCACATCTATCTCCCTCCGCCAGGAACATGTCCATATCGATGACAGTGTGCATCCACAGACTCAAACGGAAGTGTGCTGCTGTTTTTCATGGAAGAAGCCACTAGCATTGGTTTCTAAGAAGCAGGAAGACACACTCCCTCCATCCAGCCCATCAGCTCATGCCCAAGGCCAAGGACCTCTCACTTTTTATATCTATACCAGAGCTGAGAAGGGTTTGATCTTAGACACAGTCACTTTGATGAGTTAATTCAACCCATGGAGCGCCTTGCACACTGGCCTGAAATTCAGGCTTTCATTTATCACCTTAGGAAAAGCAAACATGTATCCAGAAAAGAAATCAATGTCCTTGGTCTCAAGGATGCAGAAATTCCCCGCGATGCTGTAACTTATGGCTAATGATGCCCCAGCAGCTGGACAATTGTGTGATGTCCCACAATCATGGGACTCCAGCCTCTCCGGCACAAAACGTCCTTACTCCAGGCCCACTGCAAATGCTGGTTTAAGAAGTCAATAATTAGGAGCAGAGCTGGCAGCCCTGCACCCCTGGATCTGTGCCAGAAAAATGCCCTCTGGCTAAAAGCTAATGAGTGGGCCAGGCTCCAGCCGTGTACTGGGTCATGCAGCTGCCCCCCAAAGTCTGCAGAAAGAGAAGTGTGCACCAGCCACCACAAGGCTGCTAATGAAGCAATTACTCGTTAGACCAGCCATCAAAGGCCAGCTATTAGACACCAAAACCCATCGGCTGCCCAGCAGAAGCTCACCCTGTCCTGCACCGGGGCCCATTGCACTTCCCGGCTCCTTCACTTTTCCTTCTACTCCTCTTTTTCCACCTCTCCCTTCCTTTCCCCATCAGCATCCTCCTTCCCTGCCACTGCTCTCCCCAACAGGCACTTTGGGGATGGCATTTCCACGGGGAGCAGAGGGCAAAGGCAGCAGTAGCCACGGACACTCACATGTAGCGCAGGTGAGGGTTCTTGGCAAAGGCGCGCGGCTGGATGTTTCGTAGTCCTGAGTTCCTGATTGTCCTGCAAAGAGATGCAGAAGGGCAGCGATGGAGTCAAGGAAGACAACTGCTTCTAAAACCCAACGCTCAGCAGCTCAGGTGCACCACAAGCCCTTGATTCCCACCCCCCAGGAGGCACACCTCTCCCCAGACAGCCTTTATGAGTTACAAGCAAAGAGGAAATTGGGCTTTTCAGCTGCATCTGATATGGCTACAGCACAGGCTCAGCACAGAGAGGCTGCTGGGTGAGCCTCTCCCCCAGCATCCACAAAGGCTTGCTGGGGTGGCCCAGAGCATCTCCTGCTCTTCTCCTCTCCCTCCATCTTCACAAATGCAAACCATCCTCCCACAGCAAACCTAACCCCCAGCACCACCGTCTCCCCCCTCCCTCAAACCAAAGAGAAAACCCTTCTGCTTGCAGCTCTGACAAGAAAGGGTGAGTATTTTGCTAAGGGAGATATGGACATGGGGTGGGAAGCGGATTCCCCCTTCATTTTTGGAGAAGCTGTATCAGCAGTCTGACAAGGGTTTATCAATATCTGCTGCGGACAAAAGCACCCCAAACTTCATTGCTCTTTTCTTAGGTGAGGTGATAGCAGCCAGCCTGCTTACAAGAATGGGGCATGTTATACGCACAGCTTGCTGGGGTTTGGTTTTATGGGTGCTCAGCAATGTACACCTCCAACCAGCAGGCAAGCTGTACCTAATGTAAAGCTCCCAGTGAAACACATTAGCAGGGTCTCCAATTAAGAGACTGGGTGGTATCCTTGCTTGGCCAGGCTTCCCAAGCACCTGGCAAGTCCCTTCAATCGCACAGACCTCAGTTTCCCCTCAATGACACACACAGTTGACCTCTCCCAGGGCTTGGAGGGTTGTGCATGGAGATGCAATTCCCTCATCGTGCAGCACGACCATCATGGCAACTGCCCTAAATTAGGGCCAACATCCCAGTAATGAAGGATTGGGGGAGACAGCTGGAATTTTGCATTGTGGGGCTGAAATGAGTCAGAACAACACACAAGCCCAGAACCAGAACAGCGGGAGAGAAGAGAGGTCAGGGCCGATGTGTGTTGACAGAGCTGTCAGGAGCTAGCAATCTTCCTTCCCGCAGACCCAGTAAGGACCAAAAAGGACTTCATCTCCACTTAGTTAAGCCTCATAGCAAAATATGGCAGAGCTTAAACAGGCTCTGAACATGGCAGTGTGAAGACTGAGGATAGAGGCAAGCCACAGCTCTTTGCTGGAAGGAAGCAGCTGCCCAGTGCTGTTCTCCTCCCCGACACGCAGAACATACTCACAGCCTCTGGAGTCCCGTGTACAGCTCCATGTCAACCGCATTCAGCGTCTGCAAGTTCTTCCAGTTCTCTATGTGTCTGTGGAGAAGAAGAAAAGGCTCAGCTGTGGTACAACAGCTCTGCCCAAGCAGGAGACAGCACACAGCAAGAATGTGTGATGTCCCACCACCCAGCCCCACACCTCTTCCCGCCTTCCTTCAGCCAAAACCTTCTTGCAACAGGCCTGGGGATTGGACCTGCTCAAGCTTCAGCACCCATACCCTCAGACACATACAGCACACTGCCAAAACAAGCAGTTTCTCATGCTGCTTTTTATTCTGTTTTCCCAGTGCTTTAGGAAAGCCAAACAACATGGTTTTAACAACAGTTTTGAGTGTGGAACGTGCAACCAATCCATTGAACATCCTTGCTCAAGTCACTGTCGCTCTCTGCACCTTGCTGTGCACACCAGTCAAACAGACACTATCAAGACAGCTCACGAAAAAAGAGTGAAGGCAAATATGATCTCTCAACAAAAACTTGGGGCCTAAGTGGAAGGTAAAAAGAAAAAAGTGATATATTTTTCCAGTTTTTTACTGGGGTGGACAAACAGGGTCCTGGAAATGCTGCTGGTAGGAGCACATCAAAATTATTTTGGAAACCGTGCCCTTATTATAAATTCCTCAGGTGCCCAGGGCTCACTGGCAGGTATGTTATAGAGAACAAAAGCAGAAATAGATCTGTCACCACGGGATCGTTATTCAGTAAATATTAGAGCTGGGTGAAAGTGACAGATCGACAGCCCCAGAGAACAAGGTCCCCTGTTATCGGCAGCACAGAAGTGATGCTGGCAGCAGCATGGCCAGCTGGCTGTGGCCATAGACCTCTGCTAAGAAGATGGATGCATGGTGGGGAAGGAGTTCGGTCCTCATCTCTCAGGCAGTCCTTGGCCAGTTCAGGCTTTCTCTCACATTAAACTCAGACACCCTCTCACCAGAAAGCACAAACATTTTCAAGAAGGTCTTTGCTGCAGAGGGGTGGAGGTGGTCCTCTCTCAAAGCAAACAGAGAGGGAAAAACATCTGGCTGGTCCCCTTAGACAATATGTGAAAGAAGCCCAACCTTGAAGTTAAAGAACACGTGCACCCAAGCTCACATCTGCCTTGATGCAATAATTGGCTTTGGACTTGTCTCTGGAGAGGGGAAACATTTCCAAGTGATGAAGGGTTGGGGTGACAGGCCAACACTGAGAACCATCCCATGATTCTATGATTCTAAGCAAGAAGGTTGTAAGACCCCATGTGGTGGTCCAGCGGGTGAGTAAGCCAAAGATGGATCTTTGACCACTTCCAGAGCAGTCATGGGGGCCACACGTTTCTCCTCCAGCACTCGCTACGCCTTGTGCTTGCACAAGAGCAGATGAATTAGCGTGACAAAAATATATGGACCTATTTGAGTTATCTCCCAAATACCACCCTGCTCAAGAAAGGAAAATACAAAGCCTGGACTAAACCTAAACATATTTCTCTACTTTCGCCATCCAGATCCAGGAAAAGCAGAGACCCACAAGAGTCACCTCTGCTTTCCACATGTTCCATAATCGCCTGCATACCCTGAGGGGTTAGCGTAAGGACACAGCATAAGCTCCCAACTGGCTGCTGCATGACAGTGTAAGTTGCGGTTCATCCTCAGTGACCGGCTCATCAGCTTGGATCGCCTGCGTCCCAGACAGAATGAGAAACAGGACATTATTACAGCCATTGCGTATTCCCTGTGAACACTTGCAGAACAAAACATAGACTGGGAGGCGTCAGTCATGAGATCCGAGGGCTCACTGAAACCCTGCCGAGACAGGGTAGGGCTGCAAATTCATGTCCCGGGCCACAAGACTGGGGGACTGAGCAAGGATAGGAACAGAAGTTGAAGATATTTTCCACTTGTAACTCCTACAACCCAAATGAGAGGGTCCTCCAAGAGAAAAAATGAACATGGGAAGAAGCAGGAGTGGGATGATGTGGGTTTACCAGCAGGGCATGCTGAAGCTACAGCATCCAAGCAATGACCTTCGGGGAGGGATGGAGCAGCCCCAAGCCAGAAGCTATGGAACAACCACAGCTGGGAAGGAGGCGGCGGCCAGATTGGCTCTTGTTTTATTGATTGTGTATGCTAAAAAAAGTCAAGGTTATTTTTGACCTGACACTCAAAACCATGTGGGCAGCATTCTAGAAGAGGCAAAAAAAGACCCAAGCTTGTTCCCAGCGACGCGCACAGACGTGACCTTCTGACAACTCAGCGCTGGGGTCCAGGGGTCTTGGGAGCCCCTTCATGGCCAAGCTCCCCCAGAAGTGACATTACACTAGACTGTAAATACAACTCCACAACTTGTGTTCCAGCCTCCCAAACAAAGCCCATGAGCTTCTCGAGCCAGATATGCTTTGGTATGTTATTTAACATAGACACACACACCCATAAAAGGAGAGACAATTGAAGCAAGAGTGGAAATAAATACATCTACACACACTTATGTATAGTGTAATCCTCCAACCCAGCAGCTGCTTTACATAGAGTGCAATACAGGGATATAGCGTTATCTTGAATTAGGAGCACAGATCAGCAAGGGACTTGGAGTTCTTTAAGCTACACAGGCACTTCCTTTCTCAGAGACTCCCAGAAATGGCTCTTCTACTTTTTTCTCTGATTTTTTCAGCTTAGCAGAAGTTTCACCCTTGCTCCTAGAAGTAGCGAATCAGTCTTGGTTCACCCTGAAGATACACCAGGAAAATAATTTTCTTTGGTTCCCTATTGCTTTGGAAAGAGTAGTGTAGCTTTATGCTGGCTGGGTTCACCTGAATCCACTTTAAAACAAAAGAGAAATGCATCTTATTCTGAAAGCTCCAGGAGTCAAGCTGTGATTGCAAAATTGGCAGTGGTTGCACAGGAAAGCAAACCAACCAAGCAAAGAAACTCCACCCCTAAAACTTAAGTCCCTCTTCATGTCCCTCAGTATCTCAACTAGTTCCCACTCTTTTCCTTCCAGGATTTTGCTTGCCTTAGAAATCTTATATCCTCCCAATTACCGCCAAAGATGGAGACCTTCCTTCTCCTCTGCCTCGGTTCATTAACCTGGCAGGAACACGGGTGCTGGGTTCACGCCAAATACAGATGTGACAACCCCCAGCCCTGCCCTGGTCTCTGCGATTAGGCTTTGAGGTATGAATTACAGTCAGTGGGTTACTCCCTCCTCCCTGCAAACATCTCTGAATATATAACTGTGGCATTCCTCAGTTATTACTAAGGTAAGCTGCTCTTCTGCAAGATGCAATAGCTTCAAGACTAATACCATACTTCGCAAATTCTGAAGCGCTCACCATCATCCAACTAGACTCTTTTCCAACTTCTAATCAAGACCATATGAAATGCATCGCTAACACAGATGAGATTGCTCACTTTTTTTTATTTTTCTAAAGGAGGAAGGTTGAGGGAAGGGGGTGTTTGTTTAAGTACTCGCTTCTTTCTCATACTTCTTGTATGTTTGGAGGGTCTTGTTGGTCCCAGGTCTCCTTGCACAGCAGAGGTGGCTTTATACCATGCCCTTTACAGACTGATCAAAGTCCACCTTAGGAGTAGCTATGGCTTTGCCCTCCCAACTCATACTGAAATGCTGCACTGAAACTCCCCTGCGCTTCTCATTTCTTACCCACAAGCATTTTAGATCCATTTTCTCGTGTCAAAACTGTCTTTGCTTAAGCAGCTCTTTTCCTTTCCCGTCATTTCCTCCTCCCTCTTTTACAAGCAAGAGCCAGACCCACCCAACTATCATTTATAAGTTACACAAGGCCAGCTCTTCTAAGGCAGCACATCTCCACTAAGCAGTGAAGTGCAAGGCAAATTGTCTCAAGTGCCTTGAAGAGATACTAACTCAAGTCCCAGAAGTGATGCAGATATATTGCTCAAGCAGAGAGGTTATTTTGCTTCTGGCTTCAGACCCAGCACAACTGGTGCTCATGCTTGGTGACCTATGCAAGGACCATTGTGACAGACACTGTAATAGAAAACAGTTCTCCATTTTATTCGTCAGCCTATTTAGGTCCCTTTTTCTCGAATAAGGGTGACCAAAACCACAGAGCAGTCTCCAGGAGGTTTTGCTTGTATCACAACACAAGCAACTCCCCAGTTACACTGGAAACCTCTTGACTTGCAGCCTGAGACCACACTGGCCTTTCTCACAGCCCCATCAGCCCAGTGGCTTGATTTAACCCCATAACTGAGCACTGCACCAGGCACTTCTATCCACCATGTCATTTCCAACCGACATCGTTTCCTAGATGGCAGCAAACATCCCTGTTATACCCACATTCACATTCATCACACTTTGTATTGCAGACTGTCTCTTGGTTTTGCTACTGCAGCTCTTCCCCTCAGCCATCCTCATCCCAGTCTATGCTCCTACAGCCCCAGTGCTGTGCCAGCAGTGAAGCTCATGAACATGCTCCTGCCTTTTGTGCCAGTGTCCTCAACAAAAGCAGGAGCCAACATCACCTCCAAGAAAGCTAAGTGGTTATCTCCTCTTTCAACACCTCCCACCACCACTTCTCCTTTACCCAGCTCTTCACCTACAACACCTGGACTATACTGTGTCTTCTCCAGAAAAACAAACCACTTATTATGTAATGTAGCATCATATTAACCATAAAGTCATCTCTTTGCCGAGAAAATCAGCTGCCTCTCCAGAGGAAGACACAGGGTAAGCCAACTTTTGGAGGCCAACCCTGCATCATATCTCAGCCTCCATGTACCTACAGCCATGCCTTTGAAACTCATTGAAAGCCTTGTAGAATACTGAAGTCAGACCAATGGGTGAACCAGAGCGTGGGCGCTATGTCCCAGATAACAGCGCACTTGAGAAGTGTGAAGCCCTGTTTGCCAGCTCCACAGCTCACGGGCATCACATTTCACTCCCACTGTGTGAAACCAGTAAGGAGGTAGGTGTCTTTGCCCCTGCATCACATAGAGACAGATCAGCGATGTTGTTGGCCACATGGTCACCAAGGCAGGGTTTAGGTTTCAGCTGGTCTCCAGAAGTGCCCCACTTGCTGGAAG